GGCTCCCCACCCACCCCACCTGCCGTCCCTCTCTCGCTCCTCCCTGCACAGACGCACACACGTCTCCCCTGCCTGCCGCAGACCCCGCATGCCGGCTTCTCCCTGCCTAGAACGCCCGTGCCTTTCACCGCTTGTCTCGGACTGAGGGTGGGGGGTGGACTGGGTGCCGTAGGCCCGCTTAGCCCAGTGGTCCCTGCCGCCCTGCCCCTGCGTGGCCGGCCCGGTGCAGCTCACCTCCCGCTCGGGGCGTCTGCCCGGCTCTGGACTTCCATGCCCACCGTCCCCCGCTTCCATCTCGGAGTTTCAACCGCTGTGTGTCGCAGCCAGGACACCGTGGAGTTGCTTAGCTAGCTCGTAGGGGGGCGGCGGAGAGACGGGGAGTCGGTGTGGGTCTCACGAGGTCTCATCCATCCTCCACCACCTCACTGTTCACGTCCTGGCCCCGCTTGCCGGTCTCGTCCACGCTCGTTCGGTTTGCAGTGGGTAGCTGCAGGGAGAGGCTGAGGCCGCCCGAGCCCCACCTGTCCGCGTCACCCCTCCCCAGAACCCCAGAGGCCACACAGGCTGTCCCAGAGGAGTTAGGGGCCGACTGCACCGGGGCCCGGGCCCTTCCAGGCAAAGCAGACCCCCGCCACCCACCGAGCACATGCAGCCCAGGCGCCCTCCCCGGCCGCCCGGCCCACGCAGGCAGGCTCCCAGGCAAAGCTGCCACAGGGAGCAGGAGCCAGGCCCGTGTGCGGCTGTGAGAGAGGAGCCCCTCCCCTGCCCGCACCCTCCACGTGTCCAGGCCCAGGCCCCCTCCCTGGCTGGCCTGCACGGAGCATGAGGGGGGCCTGAGCCCAGCCCCATAGCCCACCCTCGCGGCCAGCGAGCAAGCCGGGCTGCGCAGTCAGCGGGTGGACTCGGACGGCTAAGTCGGTCTGGCGTGAGTGCTCGGAGGTCTCTAAATGCTGTCTCTGTGGCTTTCCTTTTAGGGATCCATCATTAGCAGCCCTCACATACGCCGGAGAGCTACATCAACACGAGAGTGCCCACCTCGCCCACACCAGGCCATGCCCAACTCCTCCCTCCTGGGCTCCTTATTCGGGAGTAAGAGAGGGAAGCCCCCTCCCCAGGCCCACCCGCCCGCGGCCCCGCCCCCGCCGGGCCCGCCCGCCCAGGTGCACACCCACCACACCCAGTACTGCCACATGCAGCAGAACCCGCACCCCGGCCTCCGGGCCCCACGCCCACGGCCCCCCAGCCCATGTGGGGCACACGGTGCCCCACCACGGCCAGCCCCCTGCCCCCCCGCCCCCCACCAGCAGCAAGACCAAACCCAGCGGCATCAGCACAATTGTGTAGCCAGCCTGGCAGGCGCCAGCCTCCCGAGACAACCGCACAGCACACAGGGCAGCCCGGCAGCCAGCCACAGCCCGGACCAGGGCACCCGTGTCTCCGCCTCTCCCTCTGCCCTCACAGCCCGGACGGAGTCCCGTGAGCCCCCGGGGCTCGTGTGTCACGAACAGAGCCCCCAGTTTAATTTCGGGCTCCTCCACCTCTACTGAGGGCGGGCCTCAGCCACGTGCCCCGACCAGGTAGACTGGCCTGCCTCCCGCCCCGCCCAGCCTCTGCCCCCAAGCTCCCGTGCACACAGAAGGCCCCGCCTAGAGAAGGGAGAGAGGAGAGGCCAAGACAAAGCAGAGAGCCCAGCTCGCTGCACTGTTGCTCTTTTATTGACAATGGGCAAAATTAAGTAGACCTGATATGGTTGATGAAAAGCCGTAAGTACACTTTATATGGTATACATATATACATATATACATATACACACATATATACTGTCTAGGAGTCTCCTGTGCAGGGGCGCGTTGCAGCCCACGGGGCGAGCAGTGCGGACTGCCCAGGAGCCCCGCCCAGAGCGGGAGACAGCCCCCAGCTGAGTGAGCCAGCAGACTGGGCCGCGGGGCTAGACAGGCTCAGATACTCCCCTATTTTCGTACGGAGAAGAGGTCCCTGTAGGACTGGCGAAATCCTCACCTAATACTAACTGTGCCAAGTAACAGCATCTAACCGCTAGACAGTCCACGACTGCTTTGTACAAATCCTTATTTTATTAACAGAATACTATCACAAGTAATCAGTATTATAACTGCTGTGTTATTTCAGGTAAGCAGGTAAATACAATTAAATACAGCGAGCTCCACAGTAGCCGCTCAGGACCCGCAGTTACACGCGGGCTGCCTGAGGTGTGGTTACAGACTTAGACACTTTACTGGCTGCAAAAACTGTGAATCCCCTCGGCCTCCATCGCACACGCATACAATTTAGGGTGCACACTCATTCCGGGTCCTCCGGGGGGCGCCCCCAGCAGACGGCAGAGACCAGCCCTCATCCCGTCTCCCGGCACCATCCTCGCTCATCCCGTCTCCCAGTCTCCCAGGACAGCGAGCGTCTCCCATCCCGCTTTCTGAGTGGCAGTCGTGGTCATTGTAGTTCCATGTAGCCATGTGCTAGCAGACCCCGTGTCATCACCGTGGCCCATGTGACCCCGGCCGACCAGTGCCCGGCCCTGGCCAGGCGAAGCCCCGCTGCCTCGTGGCCCAGCGAGCTGCCAGGGCATCACATGGCCCCGCTGTGCTCTTGTCGCTTCTGTGTGGTGACACCATGCGCTCCCCTGGGGCCGGGCGCTGCCCGTGTCTTCGTCCGTGCCCGAGTCACCCACGGGCATACTTTGTAGTTTCAGCCCTTCGAGCCACTGCAGCCCCCAGTGCTGTGCTCCTAAGCCGTGGGACCTGAGGACTGCCCCATGGCACCTGCCTGGGCGGAGAGCCCTTCCAGAAAGGGCGAAGCCAAGGCCTGACCCGTGGGGCTCCGTGTCCAGTGGACAGCATGGCGAGCCAAGGCCGGACGGCAGGAGGAAGCCTGCTCTCCCGGGTGTCACCCTGGCTGGCGGCCGGGCCCCCCCCCCCCCCCCCCCCCCCCGCCATATCATTGAGATCACTGTACCAGCAAATCTGCAAACTGAGCACTTCGTACCCACAGGGCAGAGACAGCAGTCTAGAGCTCAGCCTCTCCGAGTGGCCTGGCCCGCCCACCGCCAGCTCCCTGGCTCGCGTTTCTCGGCATCTGCCCAGAAAGGAAGGAGGGAAACACGACCAGACAGGCCTGGCGGGTGGGCCGGGCCGGCCGCGGAGCTCCCCCGGTCCACTGAATCTTTTCCGTGGAAGTCCGTCCCCAGGCGCGGCCTGCCTGGGGCTGGAGGGACGCAGCTCCGATGGCGCCGAAGTGCCGCATGTCGCCGGCGCCCGTGTCCGAGGCTGCTCTGTTGTGTATTTGCAGAATCTCAGTGTTAATGTTGACAAATAGTTGAAGTAAAGTGGTAACATATTAAATATGTCAGCTTTTCTTCACCCTGTCTGTACCGAGGGTAGAGTCTAACTGTAAACTTTAGGTTGCTCCAGAAAAGATACGGGCCGTTTGGTACAAAATCGCTCCTCCCGATGAGCGCGGCTAGTGAGCAGCGGGCCGGGACGTAGGCACAGCCAGGGGATCTCGGCCGTCCCATCCCTCGGCCTGCAGCCCTGTCCTGGGGCGTCCTGGGGCTGTGGGGCAGGGGCAGGCGGGAGCCAGCTCCATTCCTCCCCTTACGCCCACCTGCTCGGTGCGTTGGCCCAGGCAGTAAGGTTCCACCGTTCCTGGTGTTTTCTTACCGACTTCACAGGGGATGCATCTCGAGGGCCCGCTGCTGGGTTCAGGAGGCTGTGGCCACACCACAGAGGCTCCTGTAGGCTGGTGTCCTGTGTCGCTCTCATGGGACTCTAGATCCAACCTGTCACAAAGCCATAGTTTCAGGGCCCCAGAAGGGGAGGTGGGAGGATGCAAGGAGCCCTGGGATGTGGGCGACACCTTTGCTGGCGGGGCAGCAGGAAACATCACGAGAATCTTTCTGGGACAACAGCGAAACCACGTCTTTGTATTTTTTTATGTTTACGAATGAACTGTACAGTAATGTAAAAATAAAGTCCATCCTAACACGCTGTGCGCATCGTGCTTCAGTCTTCACCCCGCAGGCACCCCCGCCGCACGCAGCGGGAGCTCAGGGTGCCCCCCTCTTGTTCCACGGGAGGCGCGTCCTCGCAGGCAAGCACGCTAGGTTTTCCCTGAGAGGCCATTGCATTCCTG